TGGTGCACCAGCCCCAGAGGTACTGCAATACAAGGTTGATGTGTGGAGTGGACAGAGCCAGCTCTTCTGTCATCTCCCTGTTACAAAAATCCTTTTAATATATGGTCCCTATCATGACACACCTGCGTGCTCGATTCTGAGCCCTGCTGTCTGTGTCCATTGACACAGACAGCTAGGCTCGGCCCTGCCCCCCACTCCCTCATCACAAGATTTTACTGACAGCAGCAGGAACCAATGGCTTCCTGCTTCTGTCAGTAAAGCCTGTGAGAGCAGGGAGAAAAGAAGAGAGGTGGGGGAAATATTGGGGGGGAGGGTGAGGGGGAAATACCTTAACCTAAAAAATTCCTAAAGGAATGCATTAAGGTAAAACATGTTTAGGCTTTTGAACCACTTTAACAGAAATTCTTTAACTGTACAGATAGCCCATAGCAATGCAATAACTTGAAAGGCATAATATAAAACAATTTTGAACTCAATGATGTATGCAGTATAATACATGGTGCATGCAAAGAAACAAACAGAGGGCGCACGGGCCTAGTGCATTACCTTTTAAAAGATCATTTATTGAATAAATAAGTGGTGATATACTCACAAAGGAACAAAAGGCAATTGCACATCATATATAGCACAGCAAGGTCCAATTTCACTGGATGATATTTGTAATGGGGCTCCTAGACCTCCAAATGGCTGAAGCGTTTCGAGGGCTTGCCTCTTCCTCAGAGCCATTACGGATATCATCCAGTGTGACTGGAAATTGCTGTACTATATATGATGTGCCCTTGACTTTTGTTCCTTTGTGAGTATATTGCCACTTATTTATTCAATAAAGAATCTTTTAAAAGGTAATGCTCTAGGCCCGTGCACCCTCTGTTTGTTTCTTTGCATGCAGTATTCTGGATCCCCCCGGTCCATTGAGGGCAACAAGGCCTGCATTTTCCAGGCATCCAACTTGTGGTTCCTAACCTCTGTGGAGTCCATTCTCCAGTGCAGGAGTATATGTTTATGTTATTCTTCGTCAGACGTGTAATACATGGTGCCCTTTACTAAGATGCCTTTAACTGGTTGCATATGTGTTGTTTTGCAGCGAAGTATATTGGCTGCTACATGGATGACACGCGACAGAGAGCGCTCCGTGGAGTGTCCTTTTTCGACTACAAGAAGATGACAGTGTTCCGTTGCCAGGACAACTGTGCGGAACGGTAGGATGGTGATTGCTGAATGAATAGAGCTTTATTAGTTTGTGCGCATCAACAGACTCTTTTCTCTGCCAAATCCCCATCCTTTTTATGATTTAATTCCTTGTGTTGAATTGTAAGATTTATTTAGCATGTATACTAAGCAGTATATTTCTGAACACTTAATCAATCATTTTATTATAACTATGCATTTTAAAATACTAAAGGCAATACAATGTTATAAACAAATAAAAGGTAATGTTGTGGCAGGATTTTGGATGACTGCTATGGTACTTGGCATTGTAAATATTTTTTTTGTTTGTTTTATAGCATATTCAGCCAGAATTGGAAAATCTCAGTCAATCTAACAAGGCTTCGATAGCTCAACAATTTCACAATGTCTTGGGGAATTCTTGGGGTGTTTTGCTGTTTAAAGACACATGGAAACTGACCACACTAATTGCCACATGGTTTCACAGCAGTCACAAATTTAATGAGATATTCATGGATGTTAATCATTGAAATCTAAGAGCCTCAGGGGTTTTATGCTTAAATTCCCTCAGGTCCATACTGGCTTGTTAGGTAACACAGTAGCTTTATTGGTTTTATATGCATTACAGTGCATTCAGCAATGCATTACACCTAGCAAATCCAGCATAGTTTTATTACTCAATTACAACTGAAATTGCTTGATATAGGTTATGAAAAATTAATTCAGAGCACTCTGGAAGACCTGAACCCTGGGGGACTTAATCTGAAAATGTCCTTCAAGTCTAAGCTTTTGTCAGAGCCTGGGTTCAAACCTGGGCTTTCTGTGGTGAGAGACAATGTGTCTTCTTGCTGAGCCACCTGGAATGCTGGACAGCTCCCTTGACAATTATTTGGATGATCCTACCTTGACCTTGTTTATCTTGAACTTTTAACCCCTTGCTCCTCCATGAATTTCCTGATTAAAGCCATGTCTCTGCATTTCCAGTTTGCCAGATTATTGTGTCTTCTCCAGCCAGTATCCCGCTTGTCTCTCCTTCTGCCGTCTATACCTTCGCTACCGACCTTTGGCTTGTTCCTGGACTACGATTCTGCCTCACCCTCATCTACTACCATTTGTGACTGACCCTTGGCTTGTTGACTGATTCTGCTTCTGCTTGATCCCTAACCTGTTCAATATGCTATTGGATTCCGGCTTGCTCATTCCCTGGTGGGGTGATCCTGAGATCTGCGACCTGGTACTAAAACGCAGCCAAATCCTTCTCCACCATTAGGAGCTCTGGTGAAAACCGGTTAGTGCTTAGACCCAGCACCTCAGGTGAGCCTTTGTCATTTCCCAGGGTGACCTGCTGGTGTACCTATCCTGCTGGTTTCAGTTAAGCCTTACACTGCTATAGCAACTGGTCTCTGAACCTGACCCCTGACCATGACAGAATAATGTGGTCCAAACATGGAGGCCGCAATAGCAAACATTGTGGCTCCTCTTAGGCAGCAAATTGCTGAGCTGCAGGAATTCGGGGTTACCCATCAAGAAAAAGTTGCAAAACTAGAAAGCATAGTGGATAGGCAACAGGGACAGATTCAGACTCTGCAGAGACAACTGCTGAACCGAGAGATGATACCAATTCACATATGCCCCAGCCCCAACCATCTATGTTTAATTGAGACCACCGCCACTACAGTCGTTTCCTTAATCAATGTTGAATATATTTCCAAATGTACCCTGCTCCTTTTCCTTCAGAGAAAAAGAAGGTAATGTTTATTATTGGGATTCTGACTGGGGAAGCTCTAGCTTGGGCCTCCACCCCTTATATAGAACAAGACAATGGCACTTTGAATAATCTTGATACCTTTCTGACCACGATGAATCAGGTTTTTGATGATCCCAACCGTTGTCCTACTGCCGAAGCAAAGTTGCATAGTCTGTGGCAGGGTAGACGCTCGGTCGCTGAATACACAGCTGAATTTAGATGTTGGATCGCAGATACCACTTGGAACCCTGCAGCACAAAAAAGTCAATTCCGCCAAGGGCTTTCTGAACGGGTAAAGGATGAGCTTGCCAGAGTATATATTCCTAATGATCTTGAGGAATTCATCCAATTGTGTATCCGAATCGATCAAAGACTTACAGAAAGGAGGAAGGAGAGGCTGGGAGTGTTTGGAAGTAATAGGGGCATGCATCTCTCTGCTAGTCCATTTGTTCAGCAGGATTCAAAAGTCTCTCTGGGTTCTAACACTCCTGAGCCTATGCAGGTTGATGCTATCAAGAGGTCCATTTCCATTCAGAAAAGAGAGGAGAAGACATTCTGTCAGGAATGGACTGGCCAGCAATGGTGGGAGTCACCTGTCTTATGATCTGCAGTACCAGGGCTGGCCAGCGGGTGCTCCCAGCAATCAGAGACTCAACCTTGCAGCCAGCTAACACCTGGAACTGATTATACTGGTGTATTTAAGGGATGGCCAGACCTGCAGACTCTGCCTTGGTGTTGTTTTTCCTGGGCCCTGTATCCTGTTCCTGCTTCCTGTTTCTGTTCCTGTTCCTGTCTTGTTGCTGACCCGGCCTGATCTATACCTCTGCTGACTTCTCCTGCTCTGACCCCGGCTCGTTCCTGACCATCCCTCTGCCTGACCCTCTGTACCACGCTGCCCGCTACCTGCTGACCCTGGCTTGTGACCCCGACCATTCTCCGCTTGCTCCCCCTGTACCTACCTGCCCGATTGATATTGACCCGGCCTGCCTGACGACGCTCGCATTGTTTGTACTGTTATCTGTGGGTGGTTGGTTGGGTTTGTTTGCACTGTATTATGTTTAGTATTGCACTGCGTTTATGTTTGTATTGTTAGTGTTAATAAATCGTATTGTTTATAACAGATCTGAAGTCTGCGTTTCCCTGCGTCAGTCACACACCTCTGGTCATACCCGGGAGCCCTGACATTACACCAAGGCCAATCCTGACCAGAAGTGGCTGCACAGGGAAGCCATCTTGGTTTGTTGATGGGAAGGATGGATCTGGATGAGGTTGCATATTTATATCTGCTAGTGTTTGATGACAGGGAGTATGCTTATCAAACTCTGAAGGAGTATACCCGGGATGAACTGCTAGAATGTATACGGCTCGCTCATGTTCTAGTAGATCAGGGCACACAATTCTCTGAGGTGCAGCCATTGCTGAGGTTTGTGCTGAGTTGGTTTCATCTGGTACCCCCGAATGCAGGGATGAATTTTTGCCACAATTTAGTGCAGACCAGGTAGAGTCCCTGGTGTGGTTATTAGAGGATGATGTGGGTTACTTTCTGGAGCGTTATTTCACATGTTCACCACAGGTACTAAGAGATTGTATAAACGCAGTGCAGTCTTTGGTCAGACAGGCTTTGTGTAAGCTCAGCTTTGTTCAACCCATACTGCAGACATGGACAGATTTGTTACACCCAGCCTCAGTCAGCTTACAAAGACCCAGTCCTGCTTCTAATCTATTTCCTCAAAGCTCTACTCCTGTATTCCCAACAGCTCCTCCAGTTACAGCCCAGTATACTTGGCTATCTACCGCATGTCAGTACCCTGTTCCCACTCGCTGCACCTATCCTGCCTTTAACCCTGTAAAGAAGCCCTCTGTAGCGACTGTTCCTTCCCCTGTTCCATCCTCCAGCTCTTCTCTGTCTCCAGCTGCTCCATTCATTTGCAGACCTGCGTTTACTTGCAGTGCCCCAGTAGTTAAAACCAGAAAAAAGTGAAAATTCTTTCCAACCAGTACCATCCTGCCAGTATCCAAACCGGTCAGCCTGCCGTCCGAGAACCTGCCTTCTTCCGTGGTTCAGCCTGATGCCTCTCTCAGCCTGATGCCTCCACTCAGCCTGATGCCTCCACTCAGCCTGATGCCTCCACTCAGCCTGATGCCTCCACTCAGCCTGATGCCTCTACTCAGCCTGAAGCCTCTACTCAGCCTGAAGCCTGCCGGATGCTTCTACCCAGCATAATGAACTGATCCAGCCTGATGATCCTATTAGGCCAGTTGACTCGATGCCCGCTGTTGATCCAAATGATCCGGTACCTGATCCGGTGCACGCTGTCGTGCCAAATGACTCAGAGCCCGCTGTCGTACCTGGTGACTCGGTGCCCACTGCCTTGCCAGATGACGCGGTGCCCGCTGGCGAGCCAAATGACCTGATGCCTGGTGACCCAGTGCCCGCTGTCATACCTGGTGACCCGATGCCCGCTGTCGAGCCAGACGATCCAATGCCAGACGACTCGGTGCCCGCAGTCTTGCCAGACGACTCGGTGCCCGCAGTCTTGCCAGACGACTCGGTGCCCGCAGTCTTGCCAGACGACTCGGTGCCCGCAGTCTTGCCAGACGACTCGGTGCCCGCAGTCTTGCCAGATGACTCGGTGCCCGCTGTTCCGCCAGTTGACTCGGTGCCCGCAGTCTTGCCAGACGACTCGGTGCCCGCAGTCTTGCCAGACGACTCGGTGCCCGCAGTCTTGCCAGACGACTTGGTGCCCGCTGTTCCGCCAGTTGACTCGGTGCCCGCAGTCTTGCCAGACGACTTGGTGCCCGCAGTCTTGCCAGACGACTCGGTGCCCGCTGTTCCGCCAGTTGACTCGATGCCCGCAGTCTTGCCAGACGACTCGGTGCCCGCTGTTCCGCCAGTTGACTCGGTGCCCGCAGTCTTGCCAGACACTCGGTGCCCGCAGTCTTGCCAGACGACTCGGTGCCCGCAGTCCTGCCAGACGACTCGGTGCCCGCAGTCTTGCCAGACGACTCGAAGCCCGCTGTTCCGCCAGTTGGCTCGGTGCCCGCAGTCTCTTGCCAGTTGACTTGGTGCCCGCAGTCTTGCCAGACGACTCGGTGCCCGCTGTTCCGCCAGTTGACTCGATGCCCGCTGTTCCGCCAGACGACTCGGTGCCCGCAGTCTTGCCAGACGACTCGGTGCCCGCAGTCTTGCCAGACGACTCGGTGCCCGCAGTCCTGCCAGACGACTCGGTGCCCGCAGTCTTGCCAGACGACTCGAAGCCCGCTGTTCCGCCAGTTGGCTCGTGCCCGCAGTCTTGCCAGTTGACTCGGTGCCCGCAGTCTTGCCAGTTGACTCGGAGCCCGCTGTCGTGCCTGGTGACTCGGTGCCCGCCGCTCCGCCTGGGGGCCCGAGACCTGTCGCTCCACCTGGGGGTCCGGCACCCGCCGCTCCACCTGGGGGCCCGAGACCCGACCCGCTCGCTCCGCCTGGGGGTCCAGCGCCCGCCGCTCCGCCTGAGGGCCCGAGACCTGTCGCTCCGCCTGGGGGTCCGGCGCCCGCCGCTCCGCCTGGGGGCCCGAGACCTGTTGCTCCACCTGGGGGTCCGGCGCCCGCCGCTTCGCCTAAGGGGGCCCGAGACCTGTCGCTCCGCCTGGGGGTCCGGCGCCCGCCGCCGCTCCGCCCGCCTGGGGGCCCGATGCCTGTCGCTGGGGGTCCCGATGCCCCGCCCCCGCCTGGGGGCCCGATGCCTGTCGCTCCCTCCTGGGGGCCCGGTGCCTGCTGCTCCGCCTGGGGGCCCGGTGCCTGCTGCTCCGCCTGGTGGCCCGGTGCCTGCTGCTCCCGCCTGGTGGCCCGGTGCCTGTCGCCCCGCCTGGTGCCCCGGTGCCTGCTGCCCCGCCTGGTGGCCCGGTGCCTGCTGCTCCGCCGCCTGGTGGCCCGGTGCCTGCTGCTCCGCCTGGTGGCCCGGTGCCTGCTGCTCCGCCTGGTGGCCCGGTGCCTGCTGCTGCTGCTCCGCCTGGTGGCCCGGTGCCTGCTGCTGCTCCGCCTGGTGCTCGGTGCCTGCTGCCTGCTGCTCCGCCTGGTGCCCGATGCCTGCTGCTTCCCTGGTAACGATGTGCCTCTGCCCGGAGTCCAACCCGATGTGCCTCTGCCCGGAGTCCAGCCCGATGTGCCTCTGCCCGGAGTCCAGCCCGATGTGCCTCTGCCCGGAGTCCTGCCCGATGTGCCTCTGCCCGGAGTCCAGCCCGATGTGCCTCTGCCCGGATGTGCCTCTGCCCGGTGTGCCTCTGCCCGGTGTGCCTCTGCCCGATGTGCCTCTGCCTGGAGTCCAGCCCGATGTGCCTCTGCCCGGAGTCCAGCCCGATGTGCCTCTGCCCAGTGTGCCCCTGCCCGGTGTGCCGCTGCCCGGAGTCCTGCCCGGTGTGCCAGTCTTTGATATCCCGCCAGTTACCAGACCCGGGCGGTGGAACATTTTGCCCAGCTAGGACTGTTTGGAGCGTCCTGAGGCCGCTCTTGAGGGGGGGGGTACTGTCAGGAATGGACTGGCCAGCAATGGTGGGAGTCACCTGCCTTATGATCTGCAGTACCAGGGCTGGCCAGCAGGTGCTCCCAGCAATCAGAGACTCAACCTTGCAGCCAGCTAACACCTGGAACTGATTATACTGGTGTATTTAAGGGATGGCCAGACCTGCAGACTCTGCCTTGGTGTTGTTTTTCCTGGGCCCTGTATCCTGTTCCTGCTTCCTGTTTCTGTTCCTGTTCCTATTCCTGTTCCTGTCTTGTTGCTGACCCGGCCTGATCTATACCTCTGCTGACTTCTCCTGCTCTGACCCCGGCTCGTTCCTGACCATCCCTCTGCCTGACCCTCTGTACCTCGCTGCCCGCTACCTGCTGACCCTGGCTTGTGACCCCGACCATTCTCCGCTTGCTCCCCCTGTACCTACCTGCCCGATTGATATTGACCCGGCCTGCCTGACGACGCTCGCATTGTTTGTACTGTTATCTGTGGGTGGTTGGTTGGGTTTGTTTGCACTGTATTATGTTTAGTATTGCACTGCGTTTATGTTTGTATTGTTATTGTTAATAAATCGTATTGTTTATAACATATCTGAAGTCTGCGTTTCCCTGCATCAGTCACACACCTCTGGTCATACCCGGGAGCCCTGACACATTCAGAGAACTTATGTCTATATTGTGGGGACTCTGATCATTATGCAATTAATTGTCCTAACAAAGTTAGAAGAACAGTTTGCTGTGACTGATGTGATTGTGCCTGAACAAATAAACTCTATAAGCCAGTCTGTCTCCCCACTGATTCCTGAAGAGAATAAAGTGAACTCACTACTCTCTCATTTTGTCATCCCCATTAAACTTGTATCTGAGGGGATTGGGAGGAGCAATGCAAACGTGTTTGCACTGTCTTTTGAAAGATTAAGGAAGAATAGACTTTACGTTAAATTGGAGAAATGTGAGTTTGAACAAACCCAAATCCAGTTCTTAGGCTATATCATTTCTCCAGAGGGATTGAGCATGGATCCCAAGAAGATCAAAGCAGTGGTAAATTGGTCGGCCCCTGGAAATGTGAAGGAAATTCTCGTCGGGTTTGCCAACTTCTACAGAGAAAATTTAGTAGACAATCTCCAGCTCCGCAGGAGCAGCCCCGTTCTTCGTTGAATAAGAGAACCCGCACTTGCGTCCATGCACGGACTAATGAGACTTGAATTATAAGAAACTTTTCTAAAGTGATAGCTCCAATCACACAGCTGACAAAGAAAGGGGTACCCTTCGTGTGGATCCTTGAGGCACAGGCTGTGTTTGAAAAGCTGAAAACTCTTTTCACTTCTGCACCAATTTTGGTACATCCTGATCCTGAACTACCCTTTATAATGAAAGTGGATGCTTCCAATTCTGCCGTGGGAGCTATCCTGTCTCAGCAAAAAAATGCAGCTTCATCCTTGTGCCTACTTTTCTCGTTTGATGTCCTCAGCCGAAAGGAATTATGACATTGGGAATAAAGAGCTACTGGCAATTAAGGAAGCCTTTTCTGAGTGGAGGCATCTGCTAGAAGGGGCTAATCATCCTGTAACTGTTCTCACTGACCATAAAAATCTGGAATTAATTCGCTCGGCAAAGAGATTGTCTTCTAGACAAGCATGTTGGTCTGTATTCTTTTCCAGATTAAATTTTATTATATCCTATCGACCTGGATCGAGGAATGGTAAGGCCGATGCCTTATCAAGGATGCTGTCTGAGCCTCCCCAGGAGGGCAACTCCTAATGTTCAATCCTAACTCAAAAGAACTTCCTAGGGGCCACAAGTGCAAAGACATTCTTGAGTCTTCTCAAAGAGGGGTATGAGAATGACCCACTTCTCAGTGATCCTCCTAGGGACATTAACCTTGAGTACAAGAACAGCTTTTGGACTCTGGCACATCGTCTCTATGTACCTGAGTCTGCTCGGGTGGAAGTCCTCAAATTAGTTCATGACTCCAAACTGGCGGGACATTTTGGGATTTCAAAAACAGATGACCTTCTGTCACGTTCCTTCTGGTGGCCTAGTTATAAGAAGGATATCAAATGCTACGTGGCCTCTTGTCTGACGTGCGCACGTCATAAGACACCCCGAGCTTCTCCTTTGGGATTGCTCCAGCCACTCCCTGTTCCATCAAGACCTTGGGGGTCAATTTCTATGGACTTTGTAGTCGAATTACCTCCCTCAAAAGAAATGACTACTATCTTGATAGTCGTCGACCGCCTTACTAAAATGGCTAATTTCATACCTGTTAAGGGGGTACCTTCTGCTGAACAAACTGTGGAGTTGATGGTTCAAGATGTTTTTAAATTACATGGAATTCCTGATGATGTGGTATCTGAGATGTGGTATCTGACAGAGGAGTACAGTTTACATCAAAGTTTTGGAAAAGCTTTTGTTCAGCTTTAGGGGTAACAGTTAACCTGTCCTCTGCTTTTCATCCACAGTCTAATGGTCAGACCGAGAGGACCAATCAAACTTTGGAACAGTACCTTCGGTGTTTTGTCAGTTATCTTCAGGATGATTGGGTGGACTATCTACCTATGGTAGAGTTTGCCTATAACAATGCTAAACATAGCTCCACCTTCCAAAGCCCCTTTTTCCTCAATATGGGGTATCATCCAGTTTTTATTCCTGATCTCCCTATCGCTACTCAAATTCATGCTGTTGCCAACAGATAAACTACATTGCAGGAGATTCAGGCGAAGTTGATCGAGACCTTGGGGGAGGCTCAGGAATGTTATAAAAGGGCTGCCGACAGTCATCGCAGATCACTTCCTACCTTTCATGTGGGCGACAAGGTTTGGCTATCTACCAAAAATCTGAAGGTTCATGTCCCATCTGCAAAGTTGGGCCAAAAGTTTGTGGGACCTTTCCAGATTTCTGCTCAGATCAACCCAGTCACCGTTCGCTTAAAACTTCCTGACAGTATGAAGATGCACCCTGTTTTTCATGTATCACTTTTCAAACCATTTCATGAAAATCCTTTCTTTGGAAGAATTCTTCCACCTCCTCCACATGTTGAGGTACAGGGTGAAGAAGAATATGTGGTGGAGAAGATTCTTGACTCTAGGATGTTTAGAGGAAAATTGCAATATCTTGTCCAATGGGAAGGATATGGGCAAGAGGAGAATTCTTGGAAGCTTGAGGAAAATGTTCATGCTCCTAGATTAACAAGAGAATTCCACCAGAGGTTTCCCCACAAGCCTGGTCCTAAGACATCCAGAGGACATCCTGTGAGGAGGGGAGTACTGTCAGAACCTGGGTCTTCTGCGGTGAGAGGCAATGTGTCTTCTTGCTGAGCCATCTGGAATGCTGGACAGCTCCCTTGACAATTATTTGTATGATCCTACCTTGACCTTGTTTATTTTGAACCTTGAACCCCTTGCTCCTCCCATGAACTTCCTGATAAAAGCCATGTCTCTGCATTTCCTGTTTGCCAGATTATTGTGCCTTCTCCAGCCAATATCCTGCTTGTCTCTTCTGCTGCCGTCTATACCTTCGCTACCGACCTTTGGCTTGTTCCTGGACTATGATTCTGCCTCATCCACATCTACTACCGTTTTTGTGACCGTCCCTTGGCTTGTTGACTGACTCCGCTTCTGCTTGATCCCTAACCTGTTCGAACTGCTATTGGTTTCCAGCTTGCTCATTCCCTGGTGGGGTGATCCTGAGATCTGCGACCTGGTACTAACACGCAGCCAAATCCATCTCCACCATTAGGAGCTCTGGTAAAAAACTGACTAGTGCTTAGACCCCGCACTTCAGGTGAGCCTGCATCATTTCCCAGGGTGACCTGCTGGTGTATCTATCCTGCTGGTTTCAGGTAAGCCTTACAGTGCTATAGCAACTGGTCTCCGAACCTGACCCCTGACCGTGACAGCTTTGACCCACCCTCTCTTGTCTCCCACACTTCTCTATTGGTCTTTGATGCTGTCCACTATAGTAAGAGACCAATAGTGTGCAGTTGGAGGCATTACAGTACAGACCAAACTTGGCTTTATACACACCCCCAATTACAGGGCACGCAAAAAAAAAAGCCTTATGTGAAGGCAGCTCTAGTTGTCTTCATTTACATGGAATGTATAAAAGCTTTAGTCACTTTTTCGATCA